TAGAGGACAACGATGTTGTTGCGAACTATCCGCTAGAGTTTCTCAACAAGCAGCAGCCTTCAGGAATGCCACCGCACAAGTTAGTTCTAAAAAGAGGTGCGTTGATAATGCTATTGCGCAACCTTGATCCAGCCAATGGCCTGCTCAATGGCACACGCCTGGTGGTTGATGAGCTCCACACAAACTTCATCATAGCTACTATTGTAACCGGATCCAGGAGAGGTAGCAGGGCAGTCATACCAAGGATCGACATGGCACCGAGCGAGACACAGCTGCCATTCATACTCAAGAGAAGACAGTTTCCGGTTCTTCTTTCGTTTGCGGTGACAATCCACAAGTTACAGGGCCAGTCATTTGACAAGGTGGGTGTTTATCTGCACAGCCCAGTCTTTGTGTATGGTCAGTTGTACGTAGCTTTGTCGAGAGTGCGCTATGAAAACGGTCTAAGGGTATATGTTGCTGGCAATGGATGCCAAGGAAAGCGTGAGAATGATAAAGTATACACAAGAAATGTTGTGCATACTAAGCCATTATAATGAAAGTGATTTATTGATTCTGTAACTATACAACAGTTAGTAGAAAGGAATGACCTGGTGTTTTAGTCACATTCAAAAGCGCTATTTCGGTATACTATCCATTCATGCATCCGTTTTGAAAAACAAGCAGTGCAGCTAAAGTTAGTCTTTGCATAGAACTGAGCATAAGAAGCATTTCAGGACCTACTCGCTGATGTAAGTAGCTACACATCTTTACAACATGTTCTTTATCATTAAACATAGTCAATAGATCAGTTGTATGAGTAAAATAAGTAAACATATCTATCCGTTCTGCACTATGTACTATATGTAGTAAGTCGAAAGTAAATAAACGTATTATTAACAAAAAATGTTGGTATATAAACCAAGTATTATCCAGGCTATTTATTATTTTTGTTCATTTTAGTAATTATATGACTCTTGCTATTCTGTGTTCACCAGTTCAGTATTCACACATCATATGAATAAGGGTATGATTTTTCCGTTTGTGCACTTTAGGAAAGCGTATAAATATAAAAAATTTGTCAATACCCCTTACCAAATATGCAAATTATTATAATACTGATAAGATCGGTGTATGTGATGGACAACTCGTATCCCGACCAGGATAGTGGTCATATTGCAGGAACTTCCCCAAGTAACACTCTCATATATCCTGGTATGGAGGTAGTCGGCCATCCTACGCAGTTGACCATGTGTAGTGATGAATCACAAGAACATGCACAACATGATAGTGAAAGTGCGGGAACGAGCAGCTCAAGAAAACGCAAGAGAGTGAGCGGACAATCGAATGAAGGTCGCTCGGATAGGCTTGAAAAGTTACAAAATGTCATTTTTAAAGTGATAAATATGAGAGAAGATTTTGCACAAGAATATAATCAAAAAACAAAGAATAACCAAGGAGATTTGGAGTTGTCCAGGTATTTTGATAATCTAAAAGAAATGTTGATTAAGTCTGCACGTTGTTTACGTACAAATAAGGGAAGGATAGTTAATACGGGAACAGATAATTGTGATATTTTGTCACTAATTTCCGAATATATTACATTTAGAACAAACATATTTGTTCAGATGAAAAGATTTTTAGTGTCAATTGAAAGATTAAGTTCCGATAAAGTGGCTGTTACCTGTGAGGGTGTGAAAAAAATTTCTCAGCTGCTGAAGCTTTACGCCAGATACAACGATGAACTTTATTCTCTGCTAACAACTAATTCTAAGATAAGTGAGGCAGAATATTTTAGTGGTCAAAGTGTGAAATGTGTAGGTTGCAGTAATAATCATCGTAATAACTGTTTTATTATGCAAGATGTGATTGATAGTTTATTTATTAATTCATTAGAAATGCTGTACGGGACGAGAGTCGCTGACAAGTGTTTGCTTTTTTCTGAGTTTACAAGCCTTTGTGGGTATTTTGTGCAGTTCCGCAACAATGTAACAAAAATAATGCTGCGTGATAAAGCGATCACGATATATCTTGTCAGCAGAATCGAAAACATTGTGACATCATGCATAAAACTGAGGAATAGAGGAGATGATCAATATAAGAACAAACAGAATATGCTGAGACAGATCGATTATCGTTCCTTTGTTCGTACATTTCTGTTTTCACAACTTCTTTGTGTCTTAAAAGTCAAGTTAAGCGTTATTTCAAAGTACGTATTTTTTTCCGAGTTGGAGTATACTTGCTCAACAGTTTGTGGTGCGAGTAATCCTGATACTGTTTGCGATACTTTTTTGGAAGGATATGAGCCTCTATTCTTTTTGCTGTCTGGTTTATTTGACAAGATTGGATTTACAAGCCGTTGTTCAAAAGCTACTTGGGATAAGAATCTAAGCATGGAGCACTTAGATGGAAAATATATTCTTGAGAAGATTCTTTATAAATATTCACGTCATATGAAAGAGAGATTAGGACAAAACGTAAAATGGTTGTATGGATATATTGGACGGTATCTCTCCACAAGCTATTCTGAGAGGCGAGATGAAATACTTAAGAAAATTGAGGAGTTGGATTATAACAATTCTGAACTTATGACACAGCAAGTTTGTGATCTTTATAAGTGTGTTAGAAGGCATCTGGAAGAGCTGATACGGCGGTAAATAACACCCAGATATGAGAATCATAAGATTAAATAGTATTTATGGATTTGTGTTGTCTAAATATTACATGTGTTTTTGTAGTAGTTTTTACATCTGATATTACGGTTCATTATTATTGTGAACAAGCATCAGGTGATATTATCATCGCATGAGTAAAAAGACAACACAGAAGCTGATTGATCAGTTCTGAGAAATAAATTATTTGACCCTTCGAGAAAAATAAAAAACTTTGTTTCATGTATTTGCACTGAATATATAGTCAAAAGCTGTTGTGCAGCTCATTCTTTCCGAGATGCACTTAGTCATCACTTGTAAGCAATATCTACTTTGTAGTACATCTTAATAAATTTTTATACACTAACACATACATCAACTTTAGTGAATGTTACATAAAAATGTGAATAAGGAAATAAAACGCTCTGTTCTGAGCTTGTACAAGAACGCTTACTATTGGTCGAGTTAAATGGCGTTCTACGAACACATTAACACGCATTTTATTCGTGTGACAATGGATTAGTGTTGTATTTCTGGAAATCATTTCCACGGCTCAACATCTCGTTCATGCTTTTTTGTCAGACCTTGTATTTTACTTTCATACAGTCTTTCTACTGTCCAACACTGCACTTTTCCCTATATCTTGTTTTATTCTACTTCTTAACACCTCAAGCTCCTTTCATCTCGCGTGTGCATATGTTTTTTGCTCATACTTAACTCATGAGCTTTTCAATCGTACAGGGTCTAAAAGACGAATGGCTTAACAAACTAAAGACGAAAACAAACCGCAAAGTATGCATTTACTACAAGAAAGAGCATAGGAAAAGCATTGTATATTTCCAATGCGGTGATAAACTGGCAATCGGTGAGCACCGAGATGACGATCATGTTCTTATCGTGCAGAAGAGCGATTTTGCAGACAAAACCTGTTTTACATTCTTTTTGTCGAACGAGAATGTGCCAAGAAACTTCAACAAAATACCTAAAAAATACGCCAATCACCTTTCGATCACGCAGTACTACGAGAAGCCGTGCGCACTGAACCATGTTGTTAGTCCATGCAATTACACTCCTCTTGTTCAAGCAGAAAACTCTTGTTCCATAAAATGGCGAACCGAACCGCTGTACACGTAGGGGCTACGCAATTTGCTACCAAAAAATGAGTGCAGAAAATAAATAGCAAATGTAACAGTTAATCTGAATTAAAAAACATTTATCTATTTCCAACATTCCTTTTCCTTCTTTTCCGTCCGCTATCACTCGACGTATCGGCATCACACGCCACAATTTTCACATAATCACATCTCACCATTTTATTGTTGATGGTCATAACAAAATCTCTCGTTATAAAATTCCACACGCCATCAACGAAATTGTACGACTCAACGCCACCCTTAAAGTTCATGTTGCTCTGTACCGTGCGACCAAAAACAACCGGCACCGCCTGGTCAAACTTCTCAAGGATTAGCTTGGCCTGTGCGGGCGTAAGCTGCGAGTTGCCCAACATATCCTCTATGGTATCCTGTAGTGCTTTTCCAATTATACTCTGTCTGTAAAATTCGTACATGCTGCTTTTGCTCTTCGTACTTTTTACCCCTCCAATATTTTTTTTTAATCTATGTTTTGCATTCGTACTTTTGATTGGTTGGGGATGTGACGTGTAGAGCAAAACAATTTCATCGTAAATTTTGTTTTTTTAAATTTGGGCAAAATGGCAAGTAATTTTAACGTTTTCAATCGCACAGTATTTATCTAAGTTTGTAGAAGGTAAGTTGAAAATAGCTTATACAAATTAGCTGCTATGGAACGCTCTGCACTTTTTATCCCTGAAAACAGCCATCATTTGGTTTGTGTTGAACAATCGATTGGTTATGGACACCAAAACAGTTGTTCTGATGTTTCTTGCAATCTGCCGCAGTCTGTTTTATCGTACCAAGTCACATTCTTGTACTCGATGCCCTGCGTGAGCTCTAATGTGTTATTTTGGAGAGGTACAATGTGGAATTACACCCTTCATGCATGTAAGCCGAGCAATAGGCAACTTGGCAAATAAATTTCCACACAGACAATTGGTACGCATTAAATGAGCTATCCTCACAGCAACGGCAACGCGAGGTGTCCTTTTAATGATTAGGAGCTGATCGTGTGTTGCAGATGAATTTCTACAGATCAGGTCATGATTTATCAAATTAGACCAATTATTCCCCTGGCTGATTAATTAATTCTCAAACATGCATGTTTACACGGTAATGATTAGCTTTTCGGAATTTATTGGCTCATCGTTTCTTCCTCGCTAACAGATGAGCAGCAATGCTGATGGGATTGATGCACTCCTTGTTCTGAACACGTATTTACCACGCACATGTTTGACAAACTCCCTGTTCCATTACCTAGCAAGAAAGTGTTGTAAAAGCAGTCGCTACAATTTTGTAGCTGTTGGAACCACTGTTTTGTTGCATTCCTTCAATAAAACTGCTGGTTTGCACAAGCAGCCGTTTCTGTTGCTCATTTTGCAGGCAAATCAGCTCTAACTAACTTTTTAGCTATAACCCATGTTACCACCACCATTCACCGCTTCATATTGATAAAAATAAATTTGTAGTGGCAAGTAGGCACGAACACAAATTTTGAACATTTTAACAATCTACCGCTTAATCTTGGCAAAAAACATAAAATAATACTGGTCCCTCATAATAGTACGAATCAATACCGTAAATTTACTCCTATATTGATACTACTCCTGACTGGTGCCCGTTTTTGGTTAAAGGCTCTGCATATTCGTCGTTCACTGCATGTTGTACGACTTATTGGCGGCTTGCACATAATACGCATTTATGTACTCAGCGCTTGGATTATGTATAGCACGTTCTGTCACTGTTTATGGTTTGTATTGGCAGTTTCTGGCCGTGTACACCTATTTTTGGTATCTGCATTGTTTAGCACTGCCCATGTCCATTTCCTTGAATATGCTTTTTTGGGACCTAAGCCTATCTTTAGCCATGATAATACTCCACGATCCTCACAGGATTATAAAACCGCTCACAAGGATAATAATTCATTTAATGATATCGGAAGCCGAACAAATGTCTTCAAAATGCCTATTTAAGATGTCTAAACACGTAAATCAGGCCTTTAATCGCAAATATCTCTCAATCTATCGCTAAGCAGAATCTACACCATGTAAACACGCTCTACACGGTAAAACATTTTATTTATCGCAATTATACAAGACTCTCATATACTTATGTCTATCATTCAGAATGTCAGTTAGATTTACACCGCTGACATAAGTCCGACAGCTACACGGATAACCAATCATCTCATGTTAAATTTTTATTTCCCCCAGCCATTTCAAGTATTCTTTGGGAGTGACAACCTGATTTGTGCACACAAATATTTCATACGAGCTTTTTTCACTCATTTGATTGATCAACATCATCTCTGGATATGTTACAACATCGATATACAGCACCAGTGTCTTCTTCTTCGCCTCATGCTTCATAAACACAAAAGAGCTCTTCCTTAAACTTTCTTTTTTCTCTGTCGTCTCTCTCTTCACCAAATTAGAAAACCTGTTGTTCTTGTTCTGCACAAATGCACGCAGAAGATCATGCAGCAGCGGGTCATACCTACTTATCTCATACGTAAACTTTGAGTTATACTCTTTTCTCTTGTTGAAATTTTTGCGCATCGTTTTCAGCTTCTCAAAAATCTTTATCTCCTGGTCAGTGAGCATCAGTTTTTCTTTCAATTTTGTAACCTCGTTTGTCTGAAAATCGTAGTGCGTGGACAGAAGGAGTAAAACAAGCCTGAACTTGTTTTCTCGCCTTATCTTCTGGTTCAAAATACCAAATACGTCCTTTAGACCACCGTGATAGCGATTTCCTTTGTTGTCGTAGCCTGTACTTATGTTCTGCTCGAATGTTGCTATGTAGTTAAGCTGCTCCTTCTCGAAGAGATTAAGAGTGTCTTCAGCGAGATTAATGTAGCGGTTAACGCTTTCCTTTAGTTTTATGTTTTCGGGTGCTTCCAGTACCAGCTTGTGAATTTCGTTAATGTCTGTCTTTTTGTCAATTTTTTTCATTCCTTCAACCAGCTTCTGTGCTTTGCTGTTGAGCACGCTATTCGTGTCGGCAATGTGCATGTATCGTATTTCACGGTACAACGGCGATTCATCGGTGTTGTTCTCGCACAGATTCAGGTCGTGTATCAGGCTCTCAAAATTAAAAAAGTGTATCAGCGGCACAATCATATCAAATGATCGATCCAAAACGATCAAATCAGAGTTGTAGTATTCATTACGCGATTCACTCGTGCTGCTGCATGTCTTGAGTTGCTCGTAGAGATCCGTATCTGCTCGCAAGTTGATTACATTGAAGCGCAGCTTGAGAATTGAGCTGAAACTCCGTATTGCATCTCCTACTCCGTTCAAACCCGTAAATATTCTTTCATTAATCACAACAAAGTTGATATCTACGTACTTGTAGAATATATTTTCGCCAATAATTTTGTCATTCTCATTTATCCTGTTTGTGTGTACCACGTAGTACTTCGTGTATATTTTGTTTTTTACGTCCTTTTTGATCGCTTTGTAGGTTTCCTTGCAATGTGTAACGAAGTAAATGGCCGGATATGGGATAGGATCTCGTTTAAGCTCTAATCTTTGCATAGAGAGAATCTCGTTGGACAAGATTTGAGTTTTCGTGAATATGTACGTGAGAATTCGTGCGGTCGATGCATTATAAACGAAAACATGCCATTCATCCTCTGACGAAGGCCTCAAGACATCTTTCACTATTTTGTCTCTCATCATTTCCTTAAGATTCATTTTGGGGTACGTATAAGCAGCGCTACAAATTACCTAAAGATGGAGCCGTTTTGTTCTGAGCAGATGCAACTAATTACAAACCTTAGAGTTGCAGATAAAGATGCAGACCGAGTATTAACAAATAATTACGAAGTAAAGAGCACTATCATTGCACCACTGGTCACCAATAGCATGTATAATTGTTATATTTTGCATGTTTTCAAAAATGAGAAACTACATCGCAATTCCTTGAAATATTGCGCTTGGTGTTTTATTCGGGTACAAAACAAAACTGGTATCCTTTTCTCTATGTTGTATAGGCAGTACTGAAACATTGGTGTTTATTTTCAGTACTCTGACGAGGTTTACATGTCACCGGCATTTTTGTAAAATATTTTGTGGTGGAATTTACGCAAAAAGGAAACGTGATAGTGATAATATTGTTTTTAGTGAAAATGTGGTACGCCAAGGCAATTTATTATGAACTTGTGACAGTGTCATGTATCACCTTAATTTATCATTTTTGAGACGGCCGTTCCAAATGAACAGGAAAGACTCCTTGGCTGTTTTGCTGCCAAGCGGGACACCAAATACTTGCTTTCTTACTTTCAAACTGCACTACCTGCTCAAATGTTTGGAGACACGCATTTCTTGCAGCTCACCCAGTACAAGCACAGGAGATGTTTAGTACCACGCATTTTGCATGGTATAGCACAGGAAGGTCTCCAGAAACACCCAACCCACATTTTTCCCGCGCCTCGAATTTCGTTAAAAAATTTTATTTTCTGTATTTTTATTTTTACCAGAACACTTTTTCTGGTCCCAGTGCACCAAAAGCACATCCCATTTTAGAATATATGAAACAGCGTACCGTTTTACCTTCATTTGCGCCATACGTTCACGCAATGTATTGGAAAACTGAAATGGTTTTATGTTTTAAAAAAATTCTTTTCTTCACCCACCCTCAATTCGCTATGGTTGACAAGAAGATATCCAAAAAAAAAGAACAAGTTTCATCGGGATCGGACAACGAAGAGGAATTGCATGACGGGTCAATGTCTAGTTCGTCGCTAGACTCTGGCAGCGACACATCGTCCAGTGGCAGCGAATCAACGAGTAGCGAATCAAGTAAGGGTAGCAGTGACGGTCTTTCCAGCAGCTCGGAATCGGTTATGTCGGACACAACGAGTGATATTGAGAGTGAGGAGGAAAGCAACGACAGCGCAAAGGAGGTAGGCGAGGGTGAGGATAACTAACTCCTAAATTAAATTCATTTTCTCAGTAAAATATCCGAGTTTGCACACGCACATCATTTTTTATGAACGGGATAGCATACTCTACGTATGGAGGTACCTTGTTCATACGTTGAAAGCATACTTTACATTCTTGTGCTGATGCTGTAGTATTTACGCTGTATCCGTGGGTAAATAATTCATTTACACTGCAATATCCCGTTAATTAAACGGTTAGACTACCTTCTTTGTGATGGTTGCAGCACCAAAAACTCTTTTCAAAATTTTTGAGTTGTCGTAGCAACCATCTCAGGATACATTCACAACTGCTATTCATTTGAACTGCACGGTGAAACTATAGTGATCAAACGATTTGGCATTCACAGATGACAACGGGTCATGTATGATCGTGTATTCAATCCGCGCTCGCACCAAACTTTGTGGCCTAATAACTAGCATACCGCAATGATCGGTTACTGCCATCAGTCTCTCTGCACAGTTATTATTCCTGTTCTTCAACATAAGTACGTTTATTTAGCTCTTGTACACCCGAACAGCACGTTTTTCTGGTCAGCTGTAACCAGCCGTGGCCAATGATCTCTGGTTCTTTGACATCATACCTAGGTACAAGAAACGATCTCGTCTGTGTATTCCAAATCACGTATATCAGTGATATCAGCAAAATATCGTTAAGACACAGATCGAATCAAAGCTATCTAAATTACGAATATTTACCTTGTCCATACCAAAACGGTGACCGATCCGTGAAGATTACGATTCCAAAATACCGCCAAATGTTATTTCCGTGTTCATATTTGCTACTGCGATCCAATCAACCTATTCCTGCACATAATTTGTGATCTTTCAAATCGTGGCATACTGCAGTATGAAATAGTTTCTTTATTTGGAATAGGCGTATAAACGGAATGGTACCGTTTTGGTACGCTGAGATGCACCGATAGTACCGGATTAGGGACCTGTGACCGTATGATTGCTCTCTCCTAGAGGTATGCTGAACAGTAAAGTGCTTGTAAACACCAAATTTTTGTTGAAGAAGGCTAAAGTACACAAAACATGGAGAACGTGCCCCTGCCGAGGTTCATAGCTGATCAAACTGTCGGTATGTAGCGTAGTTAGCAAATTACAACGTTAAAATTGCTGCCACCTCATGTCAATATCAAACAAATTATCCTCCTTAAACACTAATTATCGACTATCCAAGACTTTATTCCGCTCTTACCCCTTTCGCTAACAGAAACAGTGCAGTACCTGCTCGTTTTACAACACGCATGCGTATTCTGTTTCTTCACCATTCTCGTAGCGGAGAACATCAAGCGCAACAAGAACGCTCTCACGCAAAATATCACAGTCACTATCAATGTTCTTCTGCAGATACCTGTAGCAATCATCGGTAGCTATCGCACCCAAAGCTTCTGCTGCTTCGTGTCTCACCATACCGTGCTCGTTACCATCATTCATCACCTTGTTCAGAACTTCAATTCCCTCGTCCATACGCATCTGTCCCATGATAAACGCCAACTCATGTTTCAAAAGCGCACTTTCATCTTTGAACGCACCTACAAGAAATTTTTTGGCCTTTTCTGTACCACAGTCTCGCAGATAAAACATCGCCTTATACTTCCTATAGAGGCACTCGTTCGGATCATCCAGCATCTTACCGGCACATTCAATGTTCTGTTCATTTATGTCCTTGAACAGCGGAATGGCAGGGTCTCTCGAATCAAACTTGGACAAGTCTACTCCATCCTTGCTCTCCTGTATTTTCTTGATTGCCAAGTAGCAAGTTTCTTTCAAAGGTAGCGATGCATGTCGCAAGTACTTCTCCAGTATTGGTACCATCTCCTTATCGTTGAAATTGCCGAGTGCCTCGGCACACTCGTGGCGCGTCACCTCGTCCTCGTTTTCGTCGTCAAGAACCTTTATCAGTATTTCCTTGCTGCACTGCAGCTTCATCTGCCCAAGAACATACGCCATCTCATGCTTCAGTAAAACACTCGTGTTCTTATAAATTGCATCTCCTATTATCAGAGCTGATTCATCGGTCAACACGTTTCTTAAATAAAAAAGTGCTCGCATTTTTTCTTCAATACGTTTTGTAGGATCGTTTAAGACATTTTGTGCATTTTTTATCTCAGACATTTTCGTCCGTTTGGGGTGGCGTGCCATTAAAAATTTATTGCTGCTGCAGTAACACGCTCTATCATTGAAACGGGGGATCTTAGTTTTGATATTTAGAGCATACAAATGGGCGACCAAAGGATTAGAATCAAAGGTCTCTGAGCACGGTCGGTCTAATGGACAGAAAAGTGTGTTTGTATTGTTGCATGGGAAGATAAATGAACGTATTCTCNGTAAAAAGGTTTGAGGTCATCGAGTTCTATGCTGATCAACGCTTATGTTCTCTTTTGGAGAGGATCACGGTCAAAGAAGGTTGTCAAAATATTGTGCGATTACAATAACGAGCTAAGAATAGCTGCTGGTGAATAAGAATACGTTATTGAACACCGGCATGCGGGCAACAATGTGCCTTTAGTACCACAGAACGGGTTGTCAAAGGATAAAAGCATGTTTTATACGAGCTATATATTTACTTCTTCTGTTTGCAAGTTTTTGATGATCTACGGGCAATTTATCGATCGAACAGTTCTTATCTAAGCATGGGCAACACAAATATTTGCATTCGTATTTAATTCGTTGACTACCAAGTGATCAGCAAATACATTGTTGAAAATTAACATACTTTTTGCAAAAATTTGAGCTAGATGTGACAAAGACTGAGATACTACGCGTGTTATTTCATATGCACATTCCTATGGCTGCAAACACTCCAGCCATGCCCTTTAGAATGCTATCAGTTCATCAGCACTCGGTGCTGATCTTTTGACTGTAATAAATTTTACCGTGCCATCATGCACTCAGGAGATATGCGTTGTGTAAAATTGATTATTCACATCTTATTACCATCCTGTTGTGCACTCAGGAAGCGGCATACGTGTTAGAACCTACCAATCAAGTAAATGCGTTCTTGTACCTCCTGTTGTATTACATTCATCTCTTCGTGCAAGAACACTTCAAATACACAATGAGTAATTTCACTCGCTCGCATTTGCAAGGCGATGAATCGAAAATAACATGAAAATGAGGAAATAAATACATTTTTAGTGAACGAGGAATTGAAAATAGTGGGCTGTTCGTAATTGTGCCATCATAGAAGTGCATTTACAAGGAATAACGTGCTCAATAGCCCATGTCCCCGTGCCACTTCATTTTTTGTGCCAATTTCTCCGGTATTATCCCAAAAACAAAATGTCCACCCTCCCATGAGTGGAGGTACACCAATTTACGATATATTTGTCTCTCTCAGCAACAACAACACATTACCTGAGAAAGCATTCTACGCATCTATCGATACCAACACGCTGAACGAAATCATGGACTACTACATTCTTACTAAATCGCAATCTGTACCGAAGTGTGCGATGCAATTCTTTGGCCTCGTACTAGATGCTGTAGAAGATGACAAGGAGGCTCTTCTGAACGGACTTTCATATTTGATCAAGTACATCGATGTAAAGAACAGGTCCATCCGCAGGAATGTGATACACCTGTTGGGGATGTTGATCGACCGATTGAATGTTGTTCTGGATGGCAATTGCAGCGTGAAAATAAAAATTGTTGAGAATGGCAAAGATTTGGGCATTGGCTCGCACGACCTGGTGAAAGATGCTATCATGAAGGTATCGGAGAGGCTCTTTGACAAGGAATATGCAATTAGAAGAGAGGCTGTCAAAATACTTTCGCCATATCAAGGCTTTACTATCAACAAAAAAACTAATGTTAAAAGGATATTTAAGGATCTGCTCAGGTACGATCCCTGTCCGGAGATCAGGAATCGCGTGATGGCGCATTTGATCATGTCATCGAGTGCCATCGAGAGAATCAAAGATGAGGACACGAGCGTGCGACAGACATTTTTTAGGATTGTGCTACCGCATTTGAAGCTGAAAGATTTGAGCATCGAGACAAGGTGCCTTATTCTCGAGAAAAGCGTCCTTGAAAGGGAGTTTAACGCTTTTTCTCTTCTAAAAAGTAAGCTTTGGGAAGAGTACGAATTTCCCGATGACATGAAAAGATTTGTTAGCGATTTTCTGCTGCTGAACGCCACGGAGTATGCGGATGATGATAGCAAATTAATTGAGGAAAACAAGAAGCATCTGACGAAAGTTCTCGAAGTAATTTTCAGAGAAGCATCGCTTTCAATTAAGGCCTTTGATAGCACATACTACGAAAATTTGGATCTGGAGGGTGCATTTGTTCTCCATGCTTACCTTTCGTTTGTTGAATCAACCCAGGGGAGGGATTCGTTGGAATTAGTGAACCTGGAATATTTTACAGCCATTTTGTATTTAAAGGTGAAACGGGTCATTGAAAAGGAGCAGAATACCAGCGATTTCCACTTTGTGAGCCATTTATTCCAATTAACGAACTTTTACGATGTATATGAGCAAAAACAGTCAAAATACATTCTGAGCACAATCTATAAGTTCTTTACAGCAGAGCTGCCACCCAGAAAAGAAATGCTGGCCAGGCTAATAGAAAATGGCATAATACTTGCCAGCAGCACAGAAAGAAGCACGTTTACGAACTTTCTTGGGAGTCTTATAACCAAGAACAGAGAAAATCACACGTTTCTGTTCCTATTGTGTAAGTATGTGATGATGCATGTAAAACCGTTTGAGATGCTGCATACAGCAATAGTTGGTGAGATTGTGCTGAATAACATCAACAAGATCGATGAACATGGCATTATCCTGGAAATTATTTTTTACTATCTCGTGGAAAAGTACAGAGAGGATGCAGATCATCTGAGCGAAAATACTAACAAGTCATTTGGGCCGAATATGCTGTTGAACAATGCAAACACGGAAGATAACGAGGTGAAAGAGTGCACCAGCGATGTTTCGTGCACTATTCTGTTGAACCTCCTTCTCGAGGAGAAATACTTCCGGCCCGTATTGGTGGTTGATCTGTTCATACTTTTCAACAATAAGAGAGATATGATCAGAGACAAGCTTGTGGCCTACTATCAAAGAGAACTGTCGACCACTGATATTGACACCAGGGAACTTATTGTGCCTGTCACGAAGTGTATGCTGATTGAACCTGAGCGATTTCTGCCGTTCGTAGGTTTGGTGGTGTTCGCATACTTCAATACCAAGAAAGATTACATAAGGCAGTACTTAACGGTGTTCCTCCAGGAATTCGTGCTGATAAATACTAAATTAGTAGTTGGTGAGCTGTTCAAAATCACAGAAATTGTGGCGAACATCTCGCACAACAAGGTATTTCTTGATCAAGTGCTGTGCTGGTTGAAAATGGCAGAAGAAAATGGGAAAGAAAGTATGTCCGAGGAGCTGCTCTTTAACCTGCTGATCTACTTCATCAGAAAGAACTATGAAATTCATGAGACCTCTTTGCGAAACGGTAAGCCAATTAATGGTCATTCTAAGGCAATGAGCACTCGAAACAAAACACCTATGAGCAATATGATCGCAATATTTGATTTTGTCGCGAAGCGAATTACTGTTGATGGTCGGTTCTCTGCCACACGTATCAAACAGATGATATATTGTCTGGGACTGATTGCTAAAATAGGTTTTTCAGCCAAAGAAAAAATAAATGTTGGTGATTTGAGCGGTCGTTTGATGGTTTTTAGTGATAACATACCGATAACGGCGAGTGAGATCGAAGAGATTACCACTAAAATTTCGAAAAGCGATTAAAATTGGGGTATTGTTAAATCATGTTATTTCTGTTACATTATTGGTGTGTTGTCGTGATCACTGCCAGGATCATACTCTGGATATTAAGCTATCATGTTGTGTAAACGGATGGCGGCAGCGAGGTAACACCCTCCGCATTACTAGTACAGAAATACAACGGTTACGTACATTCTACCATTATAAGTATTTTACATGCATTCTTGTTCCTACAGGAATATCTTGATTTTCATTAGTGGAAAGAATCGTTTTAGTTCGATTTATCATTATAGTTTGTTTTTGTGGTTCATAAACATTGTATTGCGAATATTTTTTGTGTGCCAAAGTATATTTCTGAATTATTCAACAAAAATGAAAAAACTAATTGGTTCGTTAAAAAAACTAAAAATTCTTTTTGCATCAAGTAAAGAGTTAATGATTGTTATTCAGTTCTTTTTCTGTAAAATTTGCTCCGTATAAATACCATTATAGAAAATGATAGTTTAACGAAAATATACTCTATGCTCTACACAAGGATCAAAAACATGTGAAAGTAACTAAAACAGTACTGTGACATATTAAGGGCAAGCGTGGCAGATGAGTACGTATACCAAGTTATACACAATTTGCTTTTTTATTTGATAGCGCAATTGTTGCGTCAATTATGGTGTTAGTGGTGTGATGCTGCATAATGTTTCATTTTTTTGACTCTTGTGCCTAGTTGAATGCACATCTCTGAACCTGCCTTCCTAACTTTTACCCTTTCGCTGATAGCTCATCAACTGAGAAGAAATGGAAATGAAATAATTTACTGCAATTAAATGGAGCGCACGAGTTATTCGCAAACAGATTTATTGGTGGGGATCTGTCAGAACAAACATGTTGATACGCTGCAAGGATTGTTTCCTCCTTGAGATTATCTCGTTGATGATTCTCTTTCCTTTTATGGATCTGACAGACTGTGGAATCGTTAATATATCACTGAGAGTGGTTGAAAGGTGTTTATTTCTATTATTTCCACGGCTGCATAACGTTAAATTTTGTAAATATCTACGCGATTTGTGCACGAACACGCAATAATTTGCTTCTAAATTTATTTAAGCATATCGCGGCTGCGTACAGATGAATAAAATTAACAAAGCTGCTCTTTATTAAATGTTTAGAGCCCACAAGAAGTATAATTTAACCAAAATGTGTAATTGGAAGAAGTGCAATAAATATTTTATTTAAACATCACTCCACGCTGCGTGCAACACCAAATTTTAAATGAAAATATGAAGTAAATACAAATACCGCTGCTGTTTTTATGGATGAGCGAAATTCTTTCGTTGGCACCATGCAGTAACCTGAAGTGTTTTGGTGTCCTTTCAACCGTGCTTATTTCACTCAGATTTTCTTCTTTCATTAGCTATAGCCATTGTTTAAATCGTTTTTTTGGGTGAGAACTAGCAAAAAGCTTTTTTAGCGTCTATTTTTTATATTTTTGTCCACCAACCATATTTTTATCCTCCATACAACGTTCAAACAATGTTTAATCACTTGAGCTACTGTTATATCACAGAGCGTTGGTAAATTGCCAGCATAATCCCGCTTTAACCACAGCAACCCCTTGACATTCACAATTTTGTGCATTTCACCCATTTAGGAAACTATCATCATTATTTGTGCCAAATTTTTTGGCAACAAGTCATTTATTCGCCTGCCCATACACCATTTTTTATGTCAAAATCGCTGAATACTTGCAAACAGTTTACGATGAGTGCCAGTCATTTCTCTCATGAGTTAAGTACCAGGGTAGTGACCATTCATGCAGACGAGCACAGTCGTACTCCCAACAAGGCCTTCATACACGGTTGCATCGCTTTTCAAAAATTCAACTTTTTTTCATTCCTTACTTATTCAAACCCAAAAATTACCCTTTAGCAAATGTCGATGCTGAAAAAGCAAATTGTTTCCAAGGTAACTATGATAGGATCAGGACAAGCCGGCAAGACGAGCATTCTTTTACGCCTGATAGACGACACGTTCAACAAGGACTGCGAGCCTACAATATTCGAGAACAAGATGATAACGATTGTAGTCGAGCAGATTCCCATTTCCTTACATATATGGGATACAGCAGGTCAGGAGGACTTTAATTCCATCATACCGCTCACATACGAAAGCACAGAAATTGCCATCATTTGCTACTCCGTGGATGACTCCTATTCGTATGAGGCTGTTACCGAAAAGTGGGAAAATGAGGTGCGGTACTACAGCGAAAACGTGGAAATTGTGCTGGTAGCAACCAAGACTGACCTGAGGAGTGATGGTAGGGTGAGCTGTCTTGAAAATGAGGACGGCAAGCGATTAGCGAAGCAGATAAATGCTATAGCATTTTTTGAGTGCAGTGCCAAGGATAGTATTGGTGTTTCGGAGATTTTTAACTTTGTTGCCAAACACATATACGCGAAGAAAGTAGTTGAACAGCCTGCTAAGAATAAAAAGAAGAAGGGATTCTTCAGCTCGCTGTTCCAAAGGTGCTGTTGATATACCGCGCATTTTGGTACACAGGTGCGAATTCCAAGTAATTAAAATCATCTGAAAATTTTTTATTCTTGCCAAGTTGATTCGCATTGAACACGCCCTTCACATAGAACCTGCCATTCTTGTGTTTGTTGAGCGTAGAAAGGTTATTTTACTTCTTGTGTGGCAGTCTCATTCCCTAGAAAAACTGTTCACTATCGTGTTTCGTAATTTTCCCGCGTCCGGATGCATCTGATACTTTTTGTTTTTCTGCTATCGGAGTCACCTGTCAACTTGCCTTGTTTCGACGATTTTAAATGGTTTTTACTTCAACCGAGCATGCTGCCCATAACAACGCGTTCTCTCCATGTTCTTCTTTCGAAACATTGAGTGTGCTTCCACACCAGGCACATCACAACCCTTTTTCTACTTTCAACTAAAATTAGAACATCAAAGCTGCACCGCTCGTCTCATTATACCACTCAGCAGCCTGAAGCGTATAATTTCCATCACTCAATTCGTTCTAATAGCCCGTTCCTCACCAATATCAGCATCAGAACTCTCCATCGGATGTATGAAATCTTCTTTCTCTTGTTAAACACCCTCCTGTAACACTCTTTTTCATCGAAAATATCGTCTACATTGTAATTTTCCGCTATCATTCTGATATATTTTTTGTATCTTGTACGTGTTCTCACGTATTTAGAGCGTGTTCTCGGCTGTGTAAGCTTTATGTTGATATTGAACGTGTTGATCATGGATGGATTAAGTTAGTCCGTACAAATACGGAGCATGCAAAATTCTATTGGCTAGGATGCATGACATTAAGGAGACATCCCCGTAGATGTAGCGCTGCCATTTCTGCACCATTTTTCGCTAAAAGTATGTTTGTTCATCTCATCATACGTCATTCGTGCTCTAATGCTCAATTTGTCAGTCATGGCAGGCCAAGATGCAATTCCTTCTGACATAGTTTGAGCTGGCACAGGTATCGAAAACATAACAGTACGGTACCAATGTTTCCTCTTCACGTCGTAAAAAACTAGGAATGCCAACCTTTCTAAGACCGTTAAATGAACTGAAAACATGCAGCAATGAACATCTACAGATAATGCCTAACCACTCATAGACTGATATTGAGTGTTGCAGGAAAAGCAAGGAAGTACTAACCGTTGAGCAGCGAACTACTACCTTTATTTGTCTTTAGTCGTGAGTTAAAAGCAAAAAATTACCGTACAGAGAATTTGTCGCACAAATTAATTCTTGTAAATTTCGTCGTAACATGTAACAATTCCAGTAAAGTAGCTGTGCCCGTACTTTGCAGCAGTTTTTTCTTCACCAGGGACGATGAGCAATAATTGCACTGTTGTGCATTTTAAAACGCACCACGAGAGCAGAACAGGATTGATCTGTTGTATTTGCTTGTTTAAAACATATTTATTCACCAATGGCACACAAAGTACCCAATGATCGTTATCAAAGCATTCTGTTACGCACCACAACAAAAATAATGGTAAAACGAAATAAATGCTTCCATGGACTCTTCGCTTTTTTATCTATATGATTTTTCATGATCACCAGGTACATGTGATGAGTTAAAAGTGCTAAAATATTGAAAACTATTTTAAAACAGAAAATAACTGGCAATCTGTTGCATCTTGAACCGAAAGATGACGGTAAGAACAAACCAACGTGTTAACGAAAATTGTTCTTGGTACCAAGAACGAGAACAGGTATCAATGTAGGTTTTTTATTTGAGGATGAGATGATAGTTTATGGGTAGATATTCCTGTTTCAGCGTAGATCTTACGTTGTCTGTAGTGTGTGGCTGGACAAACTTAAAGAAAAGGTTGCTCACATGTAGTTTGCTGGACCATACATGGTAATTAATTCATTTTGAGCGTAGGATAAGGAGTAATGCACGGTTTTAGCAAAAATTTAAGGTTGGAGCAGAACAACCTGGAAGTAATTCTCCATTAAAACCAATATGCCACAAACAATTTTATTGACTATCAAACATATCTTGAAAGGTGCCCTGTCTCGGTATTAGAATCGGGCAATACGAGTCATGCTACGATACGGCATCAAATCGCTATGTCGCTTCATTTTCTCCCTTTGTTATCACATTCTGTATTTCAAGAATTTCATCCTTTTTGCTCATCATCGTTTCCTCTCCTAGATCAAGCATATTCCTGGCCAGCTTGCTCAGACCATGGTCCGTGCCATTATAGGTAACACAGTTCTGCCACATCTTCCTCAGATCGGCCACAAACTCTCCAAAATTAGCATATTTATGGTTTTTCGCTCTACTCTTCATCGTGCCGAGATCCATAGGATCGCTGATCACCTTCAAATAGTCAGGAAATTTCTTAGTGCTTACCGGTCGCAAAAACGCACTGGCGTAGTTCATCGCTGCACACCGCTGTATCGTTTTGTTGATGAGGTCTGTGAGAAGATTCTTGGCCTTTTTGGGTGTGCTCGTTCCTTTGAGGGTTCGTGCACAGAAATTGGGACATGATTTGTTGGTCTTCATGTGACCAACAAGACCACATGCTCCGCAGCGCAGTACATTCTTTGGCGTGCCCTTGCGCTCTTCAGTACGGACCTTTTTTCTCTGCTTCAGGTACGCCTTGATCACGAGCGGATCCGTCACTTTCTCGATGTGCTCCTCATCGTCGATCACACGAGTTATCAATATGTACGACGATGAGGGGACAACAACTGGTTTCGCAGGCTCTACGCTCTTCCGATGCTCCTTCTCCTCTATCAAACTTTTCACCTCATCGTACGAAATATCACGTGTACTTGACAGGCTACGCTGTTCGCGTTCCCAAATGACCTCCGGATCCACAGCCTTTACGTTTCCTTTCACAAACGAAAATCCTTCACCAATTCCTGTAGGATCGCCCGATCCTTTCATCTCCAGAACACCTCGCCCACCAACGTAGTTAATATAATTCCGGGACAGATTCCATGGCATGAGCAGAAGCTCGCCCTCTTCCATCACATTCTCCTTATATTCCAGTCCACAGTCTCTTAACCTCTGCTCAGCGCATAGCATCGCTTCATACTGACACACGTTTTCTGGTGTCACCAATATGCGCAGGTCCTCCTCATTCAGAATGCTTGCACTTTTCTTTAACTGATAAAACGTCTCTTTCCCGCGCTTAAAGCTGTCGGAATACTCTTTAAGCCATTTCCGTTTGCTTCCTTCGCTGAACTGCGGGAAAAGATCTTCGATATACGAGGCGCCGAGCAGCCCATTGCTTTGATATTCACGAAACGCCGCAACCTTCAATCTATTCTTACAGAAAATGTTCAACTTTCGGCTGTGTGGCGAATAAACTTCCTCAATTGGAAAGGTCTGTCCAACGGTAAACACGTGGCTGATCTTTCTCAGGAAGTATCTCAAAGTTCTGTTAATCTTGTTGGAATTGCTTTGCTTGATATTATCTCTGTTCAACGCCATCTTGTCTCTCCCAAAATTCTTAGTATTTGCATTCTTTCGTACATGATCTCTGCCCAGGATCTCATCATTTACGTGTCGTGTTTTACCGGAAGAACCTAAAGTTGTCTTTCGAGACACCTCTTCAGCATCATCCTCGCTTTCTTCCTCCCACTCATCCAGATCCTCACCAACTGGACTGTCAGTGATGATCATAAGGTAATCCGTGATTGTGTGCTTAAAAACGCACGCTTTGAACAAATTGTTGGTAAGTGCGGTTAAAGACGCGCCAGGCTTGATGTCCACAATGAAAGGTGAGGGCTCCTCATTCTCAATGACAGTGAGCTTTCCTAAATACTTTTTTGGAGCATTTCCATTGTTCTTATAATACGTTGTTAGAAGGCTCACCATTCCTCTATTCTGCACAAGCAGTGGAATTTCCTCTGAGTATTCAAATAGTGCAAACGACACATTGTCCGTGAGTGTAAGCTGCCCGAGTGATTTGATACTTTGCTGGCTGCTTTTCTGGCCTAAACGGCCAAATCGTGCCTTTTCCGCCCTCTTCAAAAGATTAAGACCAGGTCTGTGGAAATTCCTCAGCTCCTCCTTTGTGAGATATGTCCTGAACAGACCCATGTCCAACCTAAGAGCCGGTAGAGAGTGTTGCATACCCAGGTTTCCGAGATTGCTCTTCACACACAGTGTTTCGTAGTACCGATCGTTCGAAATGTTATAATTGCTTCTTTTAGTCTCTGTTTTAACTTTCTTTATCTTTTTCTTGTCTATTTTCTCCAGGATGAGATTCGGGTCGTTCACATTGATTGTGACGTAGGTCTTAAAATTGTTCAAATTGCTCTCGTCATAGACTATCTGCGACTCCCAGTACTCATTGTTGAATATCGACCGGATGAGCTCCGTCGTTTTAATGTCAGGTCTTCTTCTCGGCAGAAGGACAGACTCATCCTCATCAAATATTCTGTTTGACTCTGTATCGCTTTCACCATCCAGCCCGCTATCAGGCACGTTCCCATCGTCGTAGATTATCTGGTTCTCCCAATCAACAAAATTGACAGGTTGATCATAGTCGTCGTCTATTATGTGATTGCCATCCGCCTTCTCGGCTTTCCATCTGTTCAATATGTCCCGATCGAACTTCTTCTTCCTTAGATGCCGTCTCACTAACAAATTGTGCACCCTGTTATTGGCCGAGTTAACCGAGGGCGTGTCTGTGGGTTTCTTGGTGTAGTCTGACTCATATTGAAGTTTTTGCTGGGCTGAACGACGTACTTTGTATTTATGTAGACGATACGTTAATGGCCGCGGGGTTGTTAGGATGTCCAGCGGTCGGTAGTTGTCATCCTGCATTTGCTGGGGGGTGAAAAAATTCGCCTGTGTTTTCGTGCCATCCGATCTATGACAACATCATTGACGAGCAAACTAGCTGGGCAAAGGGGTGTTAATGTGCAGGAAATAGAATGCCAAATGGTTATGTGAGCATAATTTGTTTCATCGTGTTCCTGAGAAAACAGGCATCTAATCGGTATTTCAAGAATTATTGTGCACATCCACTAAATAGATAGGTAGTATTGAATAGAAAGCCAAATAACACAACACCGAGTCGTAGTCTGTGCATTTAAACATGCGGTACTTGAAATGAGTAAAGCAGTATTGTCACAAATGCCTCTTTTTAAATCGTAAATTGACCACAAACACTTACTCCGTGAACTGTGCCTTAACAGACCGCACGTTTTCCAGCAAAAATTTCGAGGCAGATCATTCTCAATCCAGATATTCTAAATTACTATTACATATTTTTATTCATAAAAGAGCAAAACATAGAAATAATGAGATGCAAAGATAACAGTTCCGCTTGTTATAACATTTATAGCACAGCTAATGTAAGCAATTCTTCCCCTCATTCTTCGTGAGGAGCTGAACTATTCATACGTTGTTCGTGAGGAGTAATTCAGTTTGGTCTACGTTGATCTATTTGATCACCATATTAGACAAGGAGTAGATTCATCAGTCATTTCTCCATTTATGGTACTCGAATGGGAGGTAATGGTACAGTACCTGAAAACATTCTCAACATGCTTTCAAAATTGTAATAAGAATAGAACATCGTTTGTTTGTAATATTTTGACAATTATAACACAGTTCGTTTCTTTTAGTGGTGTTCAATCCTAAATGATCACACATGAGATAAGTTCTTAGTAAAAATACGAATTTCACTGTTTGGTTAAAATTAATTGGCAATAAACGTCTTGTAGGATAAAAAATTCATTTTATTTTAAATGTGTGAACTGATAATATGTTGCATCTTATACAGACAAATGCAAACAAAAATATAAAATAAAAAGTTTTTACGGCTGTCTTGTGTCCATTATTGCACCAAAATTGATGGACATGTCATTCGTTCCAGAGAGAGATAAATCAAATTAAAAAAGCTTAGAAGGTGGTTTGACGTGTGGATTATGGCTGAAACGTAACAATTTATGTCTTGGAGACCAAAAACATTTGTATTTCATTTCATATCGCGTATAACGATCGAAATTTAAATAATTACAGGTATATCTCTCTGAACAACTCTGACTTATGGTATAAATAGTGTTGAAAGGTTTGTTTAATGCATGTGTCGTAAAAAACAGCACGTAAAACGTTTTATTCCTCATCGGTAGTAATTGATGAAGATTTGTGCGCTTAGCTGTGGAATAACAACATGCATGTTATTCTAATGTGAGAACACTGTATTATTTTTTTTTGAGTGCACAATGGCGAGAAAGATAATGCGTGGCGATACATGCATATATAAGTTGTTTGGTTTGCAATAAAGAGTTATTGGGCAACTAAAACCTGACAAGAACGTTTTATGCAATCATACGGGTGCTTTAGTACTGTGTTCGTACTGTTAAATGAGAAACATGAGAAGATAAAAACAGAATTGGAACAAAAAGAATATAAAAACAAGAATTTTGGTGGTAATTAAAGCTTGACTACATTTTATGGTTCTATTACAACGTACGTGGTGTCCTTTGAATGATAGATAAATGCGTTTTTGATAAAATATCTATGGCTGCGTTTATTTGTCCTCTTGATCACTGAGAATTCGGCAGTAAAATTTATGAATCATGTTTTTTATAGCATTTGCTGTCTTTTTACCGCTAAAGGTGCTTGAGATATGAATGGTACTGCTAGTTTTTTTTTTGTTTAAAGTCATTGATTGATCCTCTCACACATCAATAACATTCAAAAAGCACATCTTAGTATCATAACTGCAGCGTTTTTATACAGTTCTCCCGTTTTTGTTTCCTCCTGTCACGCCAACCGCAGAACAAATATTAATGTCATTCATTAATCAAAACTAAATTTACACACTAATTCAGTTATACCTCACCGCATTACGTGTTATTCATCTAAATAGAGCGTTAAATACGTAAAATGGTAATTGTAGTGAATGAACGATTATTTATAGAAACTTACCATAATGGATGTGAAATTGGGAAGTAAATTGCATATAGCAGCTATTCCTGCGCGAAAACTGGAACAGTAATGAAAATGTTGCATCGGCCTGATCACTCGATGCGGATGAAGACGGCGTTTACTCTCAGCAGTACCCATACCGGGCTACATATGACTGCAGAAGTGCCAAGTAAATGGAAATAAAGTACAACCTTGTTGCAAAAAGGCAGCGTTCGGCCTGTCCTAAAATTTTATCTTTCTCCCGTGCTCTTGTTCAAATGAGATTTTCGTATTTAAAAAAATAATTTTTCACCCTCTTATGCCTATTCGTGGCCTCGATCAGTTGAAAGACATAGCGCATATTGCTACCAAGAGACCGTGCGCGGTACTACAGAATACAAGCATTGCAGTTGACGGTTTCTGGTTTTTGAGAAAATATTTGATGCCTATTTCGATAACACACGTGCTCGTACACGGTCTTGGAAAGTTTTACGTTGGTATTTTGGACATTTTCAAGCAGTTTGTGGCCGACAACAAAATCGATGTCATCTGGGTTTGGAATGGTTTCGAATTCAGCAAGTCTCAGGCACCGTTGGTCCATGATCCGCTGAAGATCGGAATGGAAGAAATAAGAAAGGGCAACTTCTCGCTCGCTGACAAGCATCTCAGAAAAGTTATTGATCTGGAGGTGTTTGTTGACGAGATTAACTATTTTTTGCGGAAGGATACCGATAGAATATGCTGCGTTAGGGCACCCTACAGCGCGCTCGGACAGTGCGCATATTTCTTGCACAATAATGTGGTTGACTATGTTTTCGGGGCAACCGACTTCCTGCTTTATAGCAGTGGTGAAAAGATCATCACAGAGTTCAACTTCCTTTGCAAGGACAGAGAGGATCGCATCGAAATATTTTGCAGAAAGGATATCCTTAAGACACTCAAGCTTCCTTTCACCAAGTTCCAAATGTATGCGCTCTTTCTTGGCTGCGAGTACTGCCCAACGATGCCGCCGTATTCTGTCAACTTCGAAATTTTCGAGATATTAGAAGTGCTGCGAATAGGAAACTACTCTTACAGCAACATAAAGGCTTACATGTACACTTTTTATGGTACTGATCCTATGAAGAGTGGGTACAAGCCGAACATACTTATTGATAATTATTTAAGTTCGTTTATTTCTGCTCTGGCAGTCCTCGATTATCATCCTGTTATCAGTTCTGAAGGCAAAATTGAACTGCTGAGGGACACCAACGTGCCCAGGGACCTAGAAGATGTGCTTGGCACAAAAAAGGCCGCATATTTTTACGAACAACTCTTTCTGTGTAACATCAAACCTGATTACAAGAACCATATTGAGCACAAGCTCACGTATGTCGATAAGGATGGACATTTCTGCTACACGAACGTGGAGGGTATCAGTGACATACACCAGTTTCTTCTCTTAGAACTTTCACAGCAGAATTTCTTTACGGAGGACATCCTTATCAAGCTGCTCTTTTTCCTAGATCACATGGACATTACGGTTGATAACGCCCATATTGAACATTTTCTTCAAAACAACCCCAGCATAATTTCATATTACCGTGAAATCACCAATTTGTACGCGTGCTTTGTCAATAAAACTAAAACTGCGTTTCCTTTTAGTTTAAAGATGGTTACTACGATCGGTGTTATATCAAAGAACAAGGTGAAGGATGCGGTTGTTGTGGATTACTTAACGAATGTTTACAAATTGTTTATGATGAATGAAAGTAGAGATAAGAATAGTATTATCGTGATCAAATTTTTGAAGAAGCTTTTAAATTCCTAGATATAAATAAAGCATGACTATGGTGTGAAATTTTTTTAGTATATGAGTTATCTATAGGTTAGACTGAGCGTGGATACCCTGATGAATCTTAGTCCGATAAGGATTACTGGAATTAAATCGGAGATTTTTTTGATACCGCTCAATATGCGGGAGAAAATGCCCATTGTGTAGAAGGTATGGGAAGATAAACACGTGGAATTTTCTCTGAAAAATCAAAAATGAAACAGACATCGAATGCACCTTCTTGACTGGATGTCAGGGTGCAAAAAGTTGTCTAACCCGTCAAATCCCGAAAAAAAGTTATTCGAGATGCTCCTTGGAAGATGTTTTGCATGTTACAGTTTGTGTGTTAGAATAATTGCTGCGGTTGCAAAACATCTTTCCATTGTGATGAGGATGCGCGCTAACGCTCTAATTTCCCCATGAACCATAGGGTAGTAGCCATAGTCGGTCCTAGCAAACCAAAAATGCGTGTTTATTTGAATGCTGTTGTATGAGGAGATGAATAAACGTACTTTTAGCAAAACAGAATTTTACCAAAGCGGATCAAAGGTATTTTGTTCTATATTGCTGATTTGCACCATCAGAAGTATCTGAACCGATTAGGCTTCTGGTTAAGTACTTTAATCAAAACAGGCGTATACTTACCATTAATTCACGATGTTCCAGAATCTGTGCTAATACTGCATGATATATATTTTATAAGAATTTATTATCTAATTTCTAGAGACTTAGTTACCGGTACATTCTTATCTCACGAGCAGTACCATTAAATTCCTAGTTAACAAGTGATAATTTCAATTCGAGTTTTGAGACACATGAATGGTGGCATATTATTGGTGTCTGATGCCAGCAACCACTATACGTGCAAAAATAAAACCGTCGTGTTCAAAGTGTTATAATACCCGAGTTTCTTCATTCATTTGTACTATCCGAGATTTTCGTTAATAAAACATAACGCAAATGCTATTATCAACCTATAGATATTTGTTCTTCGCTTAAAGTTACCATTTTGTTTTGCTTCTAGCTATTTATGTGCTTTAATTTTTTGATAAGAGTTAAAAAGCAATTCTGCGCTGAATACCGAGTTTTTCACTTATTGTTCGTAAATAACACCAGGAATGCTTCTGAAAATAAGATATTAGCATTGTTTGCTGCATTTTATTTTTTGAGTATTCCGAGCACATCACATTTATCGGTGCTGTTCGAATTGTATGAACAAAATATTTCCTGCAAACAACTACCATAAATCAACTCAGTCATCAATAATTTTATTTGCATTTTTAACACGATGCTAGCTCGTGTTTAGCTTTCACACAAACTACTTCTGAATTCTAATTAATACCCCACCAGTGCAAGCGGATATGTCGGTATACGCAAAAAAAATAGAATCGATACGCAATCACTATGCACACAAAATAAAGACACACCCGTATAATGCAGCAATATACGTTGAATTTGCACTTTTTGAAGAGCTCCTGAATGAATACGAACGCGCGAGAGAAATTTATGAGAAAGCCACAACAAACAACCATAACAACACCAATCTGTGGAAGAAGTATGCGTGCTTCGAATTAAGACGGTGTGATACGAACAGATGTCGTTCGATACTGGAACAGGGTGTGCAAACCAATCCAAGGGAAATAAGTCTGTGGTTATTTTTCGTTGAGGTTGAAAAGGACATGGAAAATGTTAAAGGTGTAATTGATATTTATAACAGAATGGTCGCAGAAAATGACACAGAGGAGGGTTACTGGCACTTATATATGTTTTATTCAATGGTTGATCGCAGGTTGGCTGAGGAAATCTTAGAAAAAATGGATAATAGATTCGGTAGTACGAAAATAAAAGTGGAAAAGCTCATAAAGATGAGTGATATCAGCGCTGTTGAGTCTCTGATGAAGCAGTGGGATTGTATTGATGAAAAAACATATGTAAAAGTAGTTGAAGTGCTTGAACAAAGAAAGCTTCTTCAGGACGCATTCCAATTCATCAAGAGAGGTAAATACAGGTTTGGTAGCTCATTCTTCAAGCACAAATATAGAATAATGAGGAAAGTGATTGCAGATGAAGATGATAATGCGCATTGCAGTAAACTGCTGTGTGAAGCGGCTCTGCTGGAGAAAAAACAGGATTTATCTGGTGCTGAACAGATATACAAATGCTTACTAAGGGTGATTAACAGAGAATATCGGACAAAATCATTTGTTAAGTATTCGAAATTTCTAGTAAGAAGGGAAGAGTTGCAGTTGGCGAGGAAAAACTACGGAAAAGCGATCGCACAACACTTGGATGTTTACGAAGAATATTTGAGTATGGAACGGGTGTTAGGCGACAAGGCGAGAATAAGAAGAATTTATGAAAAGTACCTGCAGGATAGCTATATGGATGCACGTGTCTGGCTCGAGCTCATTGAATTTGAAG